TATCTTTTAATAGCCTTCAATCTTAATCTTTAGCTATTATAAAAAGGGGAGTTGTCGAGATCTACCTGAGCTCGAGGCTCCCCTCTCTTCCTCCAAACGGGAGGGAGCCCAGGGCTCAAGAACCTTCGAGCTCAGGGCTCTCTCCCGGGACAGCATGCCAAACTTGCTTATAATCAATCATCAGCTAAGTGTGAACTCTTGAATGATTTAATTAGGACGGTAAGGTCTGACTTTGCTTAGACTAAAGTCTTTTTACTGGACAGAAATAATGTGCAGTCAGTGTTGGGCAGTAGCATTGCTACAATTAGTGTTGCTACTAGCTCAGCTACATTTCTCAGTAGCGTAACGGTAGCGTCGCTACTTTCTAAATCAAACAGCTTTTCATTAGCAAAGCTATTATTTTAGGCCAGTAGCGCAGTAGCATCCACACAAGCTACATTTACCGATCGCTGATCTTTAAGTGACGCGACTGCCATTCACAGAGCTGCGAAGCCGGTGTCTGGCAGATAAAGGTAAATCCACATGATAGCGAGAATGGGGAATTCCTCTTTCTCCTTTTAACTTTTTGGTGAGTAACTGCCACGTCGCAAATCAATCATTGGGCTGTCATGAGAAACTTGATGGAAGATGAAAGATGACTGTAAAAGGAATTATTTCTAAAGCACTTAACAATTGTGCCGCATGCGTTTCGTTGGCAGTTTTATTGATCACTAAGACAGAACTGACTTGGATTGAAGTTGCTTTAATTTAAAAATGAACAAATTTAGCTTAAATGTAGCTAAGCTACTTTGGCCATGTAGCTTTTAGCTTAGGCCCAATCCCAATTATACCCCTTAGCCCTTCCCCTTACAGGTTCACTTGAAGGTGTAGGGGTGTCTCAATTCTCTTTAGCTTGAAAGCGTAGGGCTTAGGGGAAGGGCTAGATACCCCTTCGAACAGAGATTTTTCAGGACCTCACTCGAAACTAAGGGGTAAGAAAATTTCCCAGAATACACCAGCCACAACGGCAGGATAGTTGCACATGGAAGTAAGGAGATGCACAAGTTAGTATTTGTTTTTACAACAAGCAAGCACATGTTTTAACACATTCATAACAACGTTTTACCGTCATGCTTAAAAAAAAAAAAAACGCTAAAATTAAAAACGCTAAATTTTGCTGTCTATAATCCCTAATAATAACTCCTGAACAGCAACCCACAAAATTCTGTCACTCGATGACACTCAAATCCCCTGTCAGAAAAGTCTAATGGCTGGGCATGAGCTTTTCACAATGTCTGCTATCCGCTTGTTAAGTGTGACGTCACACGAAGCGGCTTC